AAACCTGGGCAATTGTAGGTGCAAGTGCGAAGATGGGGGTTGATCAATACCCCTGGCCCCAAAATGACCATGGGTAACTTTATTGATTTTGTGGTGGAAGTCATCGGTTTTGGTGGTTTCCCTAATGGTCACCATGTAAAAGACCTTTGAATCAACCCCCACGTGTTGCTCCAATTGAATTGCGGTGGATTTTGTTTTTGCCCACCACTGAAAGGGGTTAGACAATGTCCAATCACTGATCTCTTGGCATGGGTTTGCAGTACGCGTCTTTGCCAGGCGCCGGTGGGGCTTTTGGAACAAAAGCGGTAGAATCAACTGCTCAAAGAGCAAGGTCCTTTCTCCCCTGTTCAAGGTGCTCTGCAACTTTGATGGATATTCAGCCTTTCACTGGGAAAGCTCCACAAGCCAACAAAAAGCCGAGAACTTCTTGCGCCGGCAATTGCCGCAGAGACTGCCACCCAATTTGCCCAGTTCATGTTGCAGCCCTCCTATTCTCTTGTGCAACGGGATGGCTTTTGAGAGGGATCCATGCATGGTTGTTGTTGGGAAACATTTACATATTTGCTTATTGTGGCTTAGTGGTTAGAAATCCAACCACTGAAATGCTAAAATTCATTTTTTTGCTTCTCTTCCCTTCCAACGTCAACCAAGCATGGGGGACCCTCGAATCTCAATTCCGGCAATTCAGCCGGGCCATGCAAAGTGGACTCATCTCCATCATGTGATTCTCGATCAGGGGGAGCCAGCCCAAATTTATTCTGACGTCTGATACACTTCTTGCTCTTGGGACCAACCTTTCAACCTGAACATGACTCCCTCGTCAACGGAATTCATTTTGGAGTCAAAGACTACGTTTCATTCATATTCCCCCGTGCCTGTCTTCGTCGAGCACGACGCCCAAGCCCGGGGACACCCTCTCAGATCTCCGAAGGACTTGGCATCAGCTCACTCCAAGGTTTGCTACCCCGAAATCGTACCACTTGTTTGTGTCAGCTGACTCAAAGAGAGCAATTTGACAGTGAGAAACCGGTGTTTTCCAACTTCCCTTTAATCTTTACACAAACTGGATACCTGCTTTAAGGCAGTTCGGTTGGATCTTTGGACTTTAACTTGTTGGTTGAAGCTTCCGGATTTTCCAGTGGACTCACAAAAAGTGATCAACTTTTAAAGAGGGGTCAACTGCAGCAGCCCAGTTTGGAGGTTAGAGATTCCTTCGCGGTGCCTTGGATTCCGCGAGGCGCTTTTGGCGCTGGGCGCAACTCCGCTGCAAAACCACCTCGACGCCTGGTTTGGACCGCACGCGGGGGGTCCCTGCACAGCGAGGGGTCAGTTTGGCCCAGGTTTGGTGCCATTTTGGGGGTCATTGGTTTGGCTGTTTCTGGAAGTTGTCGAAGTCAGAAACTGTGGTTTCCCTTTAACCTACCACTTCGCGGATGGCTTTGACAATGCTGAAATAACGGTGCCATCTTTTCGCTCCCTGACTTGCAGGACGTTCAATCTTTTTGGGTTTGGACCATCTGGTGGCGACGTTTTTTGGACCATCCACTCAGAGCCTTACATGTTTGGCCCTGACTAAAATGATCGAAGAAAGCCACACATCCTAGGGCTAGGCTTGAACGTTGACCAAGTCCAAATCAGAAACGGTCAACACCACGGCGATGCGGCCTTTGGTGTGACCCAATTGGGTTACCCCTAGACCTTTTGGCAACGGCTTTTCCATTTAATCGACCAAAGGCGAGACCTTTCGCCCAGGAAAAAGCAATCTGGGGAGCACTCACCAAAGTACCATTGGCAAAAGCAAGTTGCTTGCCAGATTCCCATGTCGTGTGGGACACATGAATAATGATTGACTCCAAATGGGTATGTGTCAAATAGGGGGCCGGGGTCTCCTCCAAAATGATCTCAGCTTTTAGGGTGGACTACCTCTGTCACAGAGTGAGACAAATCATCTTCCCTCCCCAGACGAACGCCAAGACAGTGGTTGGTGTCCTTTTCGTACCAGGGAAGAGCAAGACACCCTTGAAGAAATACGCTTTGGTTGTCCAGTTTTTGCAGACAAAATATTGTCAACCGATTGAAGTTCCTCTGGGTTGATGGATATCTCATGAACAATTCATCTCCCAGCCTTTCCTGGCTATTGAAGCCGTCTTCTGCCAATGATCCAGAGGTGAGGCTGTGCTATTTGGGAATTCTAGTGGCTTGGTGAATAGTGTGTTCTTCCAATGCTATCCAGAGGTGACGGTTGGTGACTTCTCGTCGTTCTCCCGACCGTTTTTGCGGAGTCCTTCTGCAGATCCGCTCTTCAACATCCAACATGCCACAGTGCTTTAGTGCTACTCCTGTCCCCATTTTGTTTGGGTTCGTTCCGAAACCACTGGAGATGCCTTCAATCGACCAAGACAACAGCTGATTCGAATGGTTGACTCCTATGGGTTCTGCAGCAATGGCATCAACCGACCAAAACCTTTGATATGGTCGATCTTTTCTATAGTTAATTCCTATTGAAACTGATTTCTACGACTCTATGCTTTCATCTTTTTCTATGGGTCGCTGGTTGCAACTGGGACTCCTTTGAGCGGGTGTTCCTCGAGCTCAAAACGATTGGGATGGCTCTGAGCTCCGTTCGTCTCTTGGAACTTCCGTAGTTCTGCTTCACTCAGTTGTTCAAAGCCGACCTTCTGACCTTTTGGCTTTCCCTTTTTCGTCTATTTTCAGTATGTAGAGGTCCAAAAAAGTTAACATTTTATTTACAGGTCCTGTGGGCAAGTGAGTTTATGACTTGTAAGAAACTGGCCGAAAGTCCGTCTGACTTGTGACCACGGATTCGTAGACCCCTGGTTGAATAGGGGTGTGCCACATTTCAGAGGGCATCCAGATCAGTTTGGGGAGTTGCACACTCTATCGATTTGCTGGGTTGATTGATACGGGGTCAACATTGCTTGGTGAATGCGTCCTGAGAAAATATGGTTGAAGCATAGGTCTTGGAAAAGCAAGCTGACGATGTTTACCTGGTTCCTTGTTTCAGCAGAGCACCAGTGTGGGATCTCAGATTTATTGGGCAACAGGATCCATGCCCCTGAAGAGAAAAACAAAAACATACCCTGAGATCTGGGACTCACTTCCTGAGTTCCTGGACTTGATACTTTGTGGCAAAGCAATTCCAGTGGTAAACGTAAAGTTTGGGAGCATGTTTTGGCGACCCTGTTCGCCAAGCTTTGGGCCAGGCCCTTCTCAGACCTTCGAACTCCACCCCCTGTGGAGCTGACTGTCAGTCAACGCCGCATGGCTGCAAGCGGATTCGGTGGTGAGCATTTGAGCCACTTGCTCAAAACCTGTGGATTGATGAAGCTTAGCAAGGGATACTCCCAACCATAAATAGCTTCGGATATCCGCCTTCTTAATTCTTGAACCATGGTTCTGGGTAGACCATTTTAACACCCGGTTTTGAGTATGACTCATTGGTGTTCTTCCTTTCCGCGCGGTCATGTCTCCAGTTCTTCGACCCCGCTTCTCTCCCTTCTCTGGGTGTTTAGGTGTTTTTTGGGTTTCGTGGGGATTCCCATTTGATCCAAAAGTTGTTCACTGTTAGCTGGGGATCTGAGGACAGCCCAATTTCCCCAGATCCCGGCGGTCCTTAAAGTTTGGCTCGGACTGCTTGCCACTCACAAGCTTTCGAACTGGAGCGAAAGTACAAACAAATGCATCAATTTTGTAGTGACGTCGCTAGGGGATTGCGGCCTCAGCTATTTCCGGCTTGTGAATTACTATAGTTTGCCGTCCATCTGCTTAAGAGTTTGTGTTTTCTTCTCCTGTCGGTTTTGAAGGGAATCGATTTCGCTGCCGCTACTTAAATATTTGCTCATTCTTTCCAGGGGACTCTACTGCAAATAGAGGTACAGCCCGCGGAAGGAACCGCGTTGACCCTGAGCTCCGTCCGTGAGGCGTGGATTGGCCACTCACCGACTTGAAGTACAGTCCTTTCGCAGCGGGCTCAGGTTTGGCTCCTTAACAGATACATTTTGCAACCATTTGAAACATGACGTTTTTTCCACCTAAATTCAGGGAAACAGCCATTTAGAGGGCAGTGTTCAGGTGTATACTGTAAGGATCCCTGCTCAGGTTTGCTTGGGCCGCGCCATCGAAACCCGGCGAGTTGGACCATCGCGAAGTGGGTTGGGTTTGGTGGTTGGGCTGATCATGTGACCCACTCAAAGTGAATCACTTTCAGGGGAGCAGACAGCCCAGTTTCTTCGGAGCAGTTCGGAGCTCCGTGTGTTCAGGTATTGAAACTATGGTGGTTACCCTCCATTTGCTTGATATTGTGTACCTTCCCCTGTTGGTTTTAAAGGGAAGCTATCGCTATTGGAAATATGTATTTTTTGCTTCAGGAGGCTGAAGCAAATGAAAGTGACTGCTGTATCAATCCTTTCAGGCCCTGCAGTATCAACTGGCGTTATGGGAAACCGGTCACAGAGACTTGCAGGAGAACTGGTGAATGGGACTTTACGGCTGTTTGCTTCTATCTTTTGGACTTTTATCTTTTTGGGAAGCAGTGGGATCCTCCGAATTGGACCACAGAAAGTGAATGTTTTGCAGAGGGGTCAACCGCAACCCAGGGCGTTGCCATATGTGAGCTGCCAAACAAGCCAAGCTGTTCAGTTCCTGGCCGACTCGCATTTGAGTTGCATGAGGTCGTGTTGTTGTCAGGGAACAAGCCTCGCGAACTGACTGGAAACTGGTTCTCTCTCCGAGTGCGACTTGGACAAGGACCAGGCCAGTCGTCGCTGCGACCGAGCCAAGCTGAAAAAATAAAACACATGCTTTGGGCGGTTCATTTTCTATCTCGCCGCCTGCTAAACTCTCTGCCCGAAAAGGATATCTTAAGCCTCAAAGCCCAAAAGCCCAGTTGCCACTGCGCTTCTTTCAATCTTAGGCACGCCCAAACAACCCCCTGGACACTGAATGCTTGCGCTCAGGCTCGGAGCGGCAGCGTGGGGGGGATGAACAGCCAGAGCCTTGAACGCGCTGTGTCTCGAGCGCCGCGTGGGGCGAAGAACCACAAATTCTTCGTGTGCACTCTTTTTTTGCACATATCCCTAGGAGCCCAAGACCCTATGGTATGAGGGCCTTGAACCCCCAAAGGCCTCAAATATTGAAATCGGTCTGGGCTCCTAGGGTACCGCCGGAATATTTGGGGCTAATGGACAAATGATGAATCAGGTTCCACTGGTCCACTTCTTTTGCACAGACAAACATCGTGCAACACTAAGAACAATCCCTTGCGCTTTCCTTTTGTTTCCGAGGGACCGGCAGACCAAATCGAGACCGAAGTGCATGGGAGTGCCCCGCAAAAGGGCCGTTTACTAAACGGAAGCAAAACAGAAGCCATCTTAGGGGTCCTTTTTGAAGCACATGGGTAGAACACCCACGTCTTTGTACGTGTTTTGAATAGGGAATCCCTAAAATGATTTGTCTTTTCCTGTGTTCTTTCAAATCTGGGTAAATTACAGCGAGGTCACCCGACCTCACTGTGAATTCGACCTGAAATACGGATTTGGGAAAATTATGTTGTGCCATGCCCGCCACGCACACCTGCTGCTTAGATACGCAGTATTTTGTGGGCTGGACCCCCTCCCTCCAAGATTGCTCCGTGGAGCCGCGTTTCGGCATGCAAAGTGAGCTGCTGCATGTCCGTTGCAGCACCGACAATTCCACTTTGGGGGGTCCAACCTCTTAAACACGGGGGAATTAAGGAGTTGCCGCCTGGAACCCTTATTGTTCGGGTTTCAGAAGTTGCCGTGTTGAAGCGCAGAGCCACAACCTAAGTTATTTCAGATCGACCTTTGAAATAGAGAATTCGACCTAACGCCCTCATAAAGCAATTCACCCAGCTCTAATGACCCAGAAGGGTAACTTCAAAAAAGACCTGTTAAAGGTGTAAAGTTTGGACACCCAACGGAAGCCTCCGGTTTGAGGGTGCCCTTTTCAGAGAGAGACCCTCCAAGTCTCCTATTTTACGCAGGGAATTGCCCATCATTTTTGTGGGCTAGACTCCCAACACTCACATTCTTTGGGGTGGTTCGGCTCCTAAAACTAACATATGTTTGTTATTGTGTTGTTGCATTTGAGGATGGTTCGGCTCCAAACGAATAACACGTCTTCTCCTTACTTGTTTTTTCTCCTAAAGAATAGCACGTCTTCTCATTGTTCTTATTTTTCCTCCCAAAGAATACCACTTCTTGTTTGCTTGCTTGCTTGCTTGCTTGCTTTTTTGTGTGTGTCTTGTTTGTTTGCTTGCTTGCTTGCTTTGCTTGCAATTGTTTCGTTATTTTTCCTTTTTTTTTGTGCATTGTTTCTTTTTTTGGGGGGGTTCGTTTCGTCCCCTCTCCCGCGCCGCGCGCTCCGCTTCTCCGCTTCGGGGGTCGCAGGCCTGGAGCTCACGCGCCACGCGGAGCGGCTGCTGCGGCGGAGGCTGCGCTGCGACAGGCGGGGAAGCTGCGGGGCGGCGTCCGGCTGCGTTTCTCGTTTTTCTTTTTTTTTGGGGGGGGGGGGTGTTTTTGTTCTTGTGTTTTTTGTTTTTTTGGAAACAATAAAGGAAACAAAACTAGAGTGTGTTTTTTTAGTAAGCAGGGGTCCTGAAACGATCTCCATTTTGCCCATCCATTTGAATCATGTGGCTTTTTCAACACCAAAATAAAGGGAAACCACCATGTACAAGGCAATGTTCAGGTGTATAATGTAAAGATCCCTGTTGTATAAGGTTTTTCTACTTGTGAGGGGACCCTTCAAACTTAACTGCGCGCACAAAAAGGGGGATGGCTTTGATCGCATGTGATTTTATGAACACACCGCCGCATGGCTGTGAATCTTCCGAGTTGGAACCACCTCACCAGTGGTGGGCAGAAATCCCCATCCACCAAAGGGCCCTGAGTCCAATTCATGTCCAAGTGTGTTGTTTTGTGCGTGTGCGTGTGTTTGTGTGCGTGAGCCTTCAAGGATGAACACCTCCAACTTAGATCTTCGATTCGCCAAGTCAGTAAGTGGCGATCGCCACTTGGTTCTAGTCCACTAATAACAGTCTTATCCCCACTGAACGGGGGACTTATAAGTGGGGAACAAAAACCGAACGGTTACACCTAGACCCCAAATATGAGGGTCTTGAACCCCCAAAGTCTTGGGCTCTTAGGGACAGTTACAACTTCAAACTTCGCAAAGCGAACACCCAAGAAGGACACTGCGGCGCTGCTTTTCTTTCGGCCCAGTTTGAGGCTTTCAGGTGTCCGGCAAGACGCTTCGGCGTCTGGTTCCATCGTTGCCCGAGAGCTTTGATGTGGAGCTTATTGGGGGGGAGGGGGGCCTTTGAACAACTCGCTTCCTCAGTTGTGTTTTAAGTTCGGAATTTAGTCACTTTTTGGGAAGACCATGTTATTGCCAACAGAACGTTGGGACTTGTTTCGCACCATCAACCCAGGAAGTGAGGCAGTGCGTTGATTCAGATTCCGTTCGTAAAACGCGCAGGCCGAGCCGGGAGAGAGGCAAGCCGCGATCCGCTTTTCTCGGCTCTCTGTTCACCTCCGTTTGGGACGTTGATCTTCTTGAAGGACTGGTTGAAGGAAGGAAAGCGGATTGAAGGATTGACTGGTTCAAGATGGAAAGCGGATGGAAAGACTGGTTGGTTCAAGGACGTGTCCTGGCTTTTCACGCTTGGGTCATGTGCGCGACAGACGATTTTCTGTTAAGAGAGCCACATGGACCGCAGGTTTTAGTCTACCTTTCCGTTTACCGTCCATTTTGGGGCGACTCCTATTTCGGAGCTACACTCATTTCGTATTTTGTGCCCTTTTGAAGCAACTGGATCCACATTGCGCATCCACAGGTCCCTCCGAGCCTTGAAAAATCGGCGGAGCCCACAAATTTTCTTCCCCATTGGGTGGGGTTGTCCAAAAGTCAGGAGCCCCTTTTGGACCCCGGTGCCGCCGTCTTTGTGCCGGCATTGAAAGGGATTTGACAATCCCACGGAAGAGGAAGCAATGCGTGTTGATTGGATTTGAGGCCCCCTGTTTCAGCACCTGGAGCCAGGCCAAAGCACGACGCTGCAAAAGGGTGGGGTCGATGGAGTTCTTGAAAGCAGCCCAAGAAGAATACCGAGGCTCAAACAAGGACACCCATGTAGTATGTTTGTGTTCTTTACAGGGAAACCAAGCACAAGCACCATTATTACCGAATATCCAAATTGATGGGTTGGGAGTGAGAGAAAGAGATCCATCACCAGTCTCCCTCCACCACTGTATACCTAATAAAAGTTTAGGTGGAAGGGACATGAAAACCGTGGGCTTGCTCACCAAAATCCTTTTTTTTTTCTGTCTTGGGCATTGGGGCAGCAGGAAGCCAGAGGAATCCCTGTCACTTTGGCGCCCCTTTTTTTTTGAAAGCAAGCCCGTGCGTCACGCAGCTATTGAGGAGCCCTGGCTCTGGTGGGAAAACGAAAATTCGGCGGCCAATGTCCAAGCCACCGGGCCCCACTCCCAACTCAAGGACTCCTGAATTCAGATCCGAGTTCCTCGCAGGGACCCTCGATTCTGAGTCATCGTCAGACGTCACCCAAAACGGGTTACCCGGAAAAAGGAAACAAGGACTAAAACCTGCGGTCCATAGCCTGGTGGTATAATCGCCAGGAAGCCAAATGGCTGTGGGTCAAAACCATTGGTACCCTGTTGGGGTAGGTGCACCACCCTGTGGATGGATACAAATCCTGCACCTAAGAAACCCTTGAACGAGTCAATTCCCTGGCAAATACCAACCAACCAACTTTACGTAATGTTTCAACCATGGATTCATTTCGTGGTGCGGTGCCGGATTTTGCAACCATCCACAGTATGTTCTATCCCTAAGAGCACAAGACCGATTTCATTCTTTGAGGCCTTTGGGGGTTCAAGGAACCCCCTCATACTTAGGGTCCAAGGGGCTCCTATGGTATGGAAATCCACTGGATTACTTTGTCACGTTTTGCTTGGATGTTAGGACTTCAACTTTTTGCCAACTACTGGGTGTTCCGTATGAAACCACTAAAAGTTAGTCACTCTTAGCAGGGCTTCGCAGATTTCGCAACCAAGATTAGGACCACCACCTTCGGCTCGCGCCATTCGCCTCGCAAGCAGGTGACTGGGACCTCATTGCCCACCGCTTCGCGGAGCTCTCCGCAGACATCGCCAAGCTCTTGGATCGCCAATTTGGGCAAGGGATCTTTAGGTCCCCCAGTGCCCTTTCTCCCAAATTAGAACCTATTTGAGTGGGGACTGGGATGTTCACAGACCTGGGTCCCCCAGCTAGGTGCAAACTTTCTCACCCCTCTTTTTTTGGTTGGGAGATTTGGTTCCCCTACTAAAATAGACTACAGGAAAAAAGGGTACCCTTATTCTATCCTCTCTACTGGAGGACCTAGTGGGTGTATTCCTGGTTCCATTTGTGAAAAAAGTAATACGTGTTCTTTTCCCTGGTTGGTTTTAAAGGGAATCTAGCCCTACTGGAAATGCGTTTGTTTTTCCAGGGGGCTTAAGCAAAGGGGAAGTGACTTTGGCATTGCCCGGATCCAGCAGACTGGTGACTTGTTGCAGGAGAATAGCTTCTCATGTTTCCGCACTTTCCACAGAAGACACGATCGGAGTTGTGTATGTACCCAGAAAGGTCGGGCATGCACCTAGAAAACCGTCCACTTGCTTAAGGATATGTTTGTTTGATGTTCCCCTGTTGGTTTCAAAGAAATCTATCGCCGGAAATAGGTGATTCTTGTTCCAGCGCACGGAAAACGCAAACGGAAATTGGACTATGTTGGGGGAAATGCTGTGTTCTCATGTTTGTTGTGTTGCAAACAAAAAGCCTGCAGGTCAGAGACTCAAACGCGAGAGGCAACCGAATTTGGTGCAGATCTGCCGTGTGAGTTCTTTGTGCGGGTTTGGGTAGACCTGCGTAATACAAGATTTTGCTGTGACTCAAAAGAGTTGGCTGGCATCACCTTTAGAGGGCATTTGTCCGCGTGTTCGGGATTCCTCGTATTAGTATAGACCTCCAGATGAATCCGAAGTCAACGATCTTCACAAGGTTTCGACTGGGTTTTTCGCCGCGGTGGGCCGGCTGCACGGGGGACATGTTGACAACCTCGGTTTGCTCAATGGAAGTGTTACTTTCCAATTTCCCTGTTGGGTGTGTCTCAAAATTAGGTGGTTGTACTTTAGATTGCTGGTTAAACTGCGCCTAACATTTTGCCCTCAAGAAGCATCAGAACTGGTCATGATTGGTCAAAAGCAGCTCGCTCTGCAACTTTCCGGACTTCATATGTTTTGTATAAGGCAATTTTAGTGGTGAACAATCAGTTTATCCGTGTTTTGTCCAATCATGTTGAAGCGGCGCCAAGGTGTTTTGTTAAACAAATAGAAGCCACCTGTGTCTGGACCGTCTTGCATCAAGGGAGTGGTGCACCAGGTTCAGTCGGCTGATTAAACAAGTAAGACATGTGGGGGCTGATCAATATTCCCTTCGGCCCCCAGTTTTGACCATGGATCACTTTCCCATGTGGGAAATAGCAAATCTGTTTCGTGGTTGTCCAAGGGTCATCCCATGTTCATGGGACCCTTTTGACCAAGGGCTAGGGCCTCGAACATTCTCCGAGCTCAAGGGCTTGGGATTTTTCACTAGGAACGGCGTGGCCTTCTTGGCATGTGGCCTTGTTGGTGTGCGCCTTTCCCAGCAAGTGCCAAGTGCCCCCCCTTCTTTGCATGGAAACACAAACAAATCCCGGCAGCAAGTGCCCCCTTCTTTGCAGGTTGGTTTTTGCAGAAACAAAACTATCAAATGCCCAGGTTTGCAATTGTTCCCTGTTGGGTTGAAAGTTGTACCACCGGATTTCATATGTCGTTTGAGACGAGCTCTAAATTTACATTCCCTCACAAAATCCAGGCAGCAACCGAGCCCTTTCGCGCCAAAGCATCTTACTGAGGACCTAGCAATGGAATGGCAAAAACAGAGGCCCCCCCCGCCCTAATCTCTTCCCCCTATTAATAAATACGCCCCCCCCTCCCCTATTATAAATATCCTCCCAAAAATGTATATATATATATATATTTTTAATTGGGGCTTTTGGGGTTGGGTTTCTTGCTTTTCCAAGAATGTGAGGGTTCACATAGGATTTGGAGGAAATGGATTGAATTGTAAGGTCCGCGAGTAAGCGGTTTAATAAGGAATTTTTTTGTATCCTTCTATTTGTTTTTCAGTTTACTGGTTGTTTGTTTGCAGCCAGGCAGGTTAGCCAGCATGTACGGGGGAGAGACAGTCGCAGCTTAAAAGTGGGGCTGGAAGCTTGTTAAAAGTGCCCCCTAATAAGGATTCCAAGACTTTAGTATTGGTTTAGTATTGGCGCAATTAACAATCAATTGTGCGGAGTGGAAATCTGGTCCCGGGCCCCGGATTTCCAAATTTTTATTCATTGGGGTCATTAATAGGGGGAAGAGATTGGTACACTGTGGTTGATTAGTATGGTTGATTAGTATGGTTGCTTCAGAAAAGGCGCAGTGCAACGGTCCAACCGCTGAGGACGTGGACCTGAGCGTCCGTCTGTTGCCGGGGCTCCTGGAACGCCGAGGTCGCCTCCCCAAAAACCAGCGGATTCTGTAGGGTTCAACCCCCACTAAAAGAAAGGTTGCCCCAATTTGGATGATGACAATCCTTAGGTAAACAATGATGGTTATATGAGCCCCCATTGTTTGAATGGTGGTTTGAATCCCAGGGGATTGGGATTGATCAAAAGGGCCTTACTTTAGGGCCTCCTGCGCGCCCCCCCTGTGGCGGATTCGGGGGAAGCTTCCATCGCCGAAGAAGTCGGCGAACATTTTTTTTTGGGGGGGTTTTCACCAACACGCGCGCCAGTTTGACAAAGGGTCTTTGGAAGGTTTGGCTTCTATGTGGGGGTTCATCCATCTTCCCTTAAAGGCCCCCAGTTTTGACCATGGGTAACTTTTGGGATGTAGGGTTTATTCGCTTTGTAGTGGTTGTCCTTGCAATGGTCATCCCATAAGGAAAACAACAAAAATGGAACCTGCACGGGGGTCCCCTCCAAGGTCTTCCCCCTGTGGTAGGTTCCCTAAGTCCCCAACCCCTGCACAAGGACGCCCTTTACGGGTAAAGCAGGGCAACACGCCCGTTTAACCTAGGGTAAGTAGGCTTGTTGTACAATCGTGGGGACACTGTGATGGTTTAAAGGAAACAAAACACCTTGACGGGTCCCACATTTCGCAAGACACACTTTCTCACCCCTTTTTTGGGGGGAGGGTTCCCCTACTAAAATAGACTACAGAAAAAAAATGGTCCCCTTAATCGTACTGGAGGAGCCCCTCCAACCCCAGCCCGAAACCAGGCGGTGCCTGGCCCGCGCCAAGTTCAGCAACTCCGCGGTGCTGCAGCCCTTAGCACCTCGCTCAAAGGATACGCGTCGAGCGGCTGCTGATTTCTCGGCTGTGAGTGGAGCCTGTGTCTTTTTTTGGAGGGAAACCTTTTTTGGGGGCTGGTTTGATGTTGACCCCATAAAAATCAATCCCAGTTTATTTGGCTTACTATCTTCCATTTCCAAGCTATTTGATTAATATGGTCAACCTGAAAAGGGAAATCGAGGAAGCCACCCATTTGGTCTCCGCCGCTATTTGGGGCACTCTCAGAGACCCCTCCAAGGACCCTCCCTGAAAGGTCAAGGTTTGATTGTCCGTTTCTTGCCATTTGGTTGCACTAGCCCCTTACCCTAAATATGAGGGGGTTCCCAAGGAACCCCCAAAAGCCTCAAATGAAATAGGTCCAAGGGGCTCCCAGGGTTGGAGCTTCAAACCTGCCTTTCCTCTATGTCTGGCTGTCGGGGATTTGCGAATCGCAAATGAGCAAGGGCTGTCTATTTTGTTTTGACACCAAATGAAGAAGGTACCCCCCAACCTCCCCACCACCCAAACCAAGCCACTAATGAGGGGCAATCTGAACTTGAACTAAACCCACCAATTGGTTACCTTCGCTAAAGCTTTAGCCAACCTCTCGACTCGTTTGCCCTGCTGGGTCGGATCCTAGCCATGTTGAGTGGGTCAACTACTTTGGGCTTACTCACTTTGTTACTTCTTGCGATTGGACCGGTTTAGTGGCAAACAGAAAGTTTGGGAGTCTTTTTGGGACTATCAGCTCAGGAAGTGAGTTTAAGAAGGTTATGTTAAAGCTTGATTTGTTTGCTCTCAATGCTTGTTGGGCGCTGCTCAGATGAGTTGATTTTGCATGCCTCTTCAATTTTACAAGTTGCATCTATGGGTCTGTCTTGTTGGTGTGAGTTGCTAGCCTTTTGGATATGTTCAAAGGGACGCCAAAAGGAACACCCAGGCCATTTTTGGGGCGTTCATTATTCTGAAACACAGCTGCTATACTGCGCTCCTGCAACATCGCCCGGTTCCTGTTGACTGTTTTTCTCCCGGTGTCCAAACTGCTTGGCGGAAGGGCTCGGGAGCACCGGAGACGATGGCAGGTGCGCGACCTGCCCATTGCCGGGCAGCTGCCCTCGAGTCTCACGCACCTTGGCGGCGTTCCTGTTAGCTTTATGGCCATGGGGCAAAGCCCAAATCGTACCCCCAGTGAACATCCCAATCCCCACTAAAACAGCTGAAAATGGGTGGTGCATCTATCCCAAAATGGTACCATTGGTTTTGAACCATGGCCTTATGACTATTTGGTTGGACCTTTGGACTTCAACTTTTTGGGGAAACAGCGGGTTTTCCATTGGACCCGCAAAAAGTCAAAGGTTTTGCAGAGGGGCCAACAGCAACCAAGTTATGGCTAGCTCGCTGTTGGGGGGTTAAGCAAGCCGCGCCATTCTTAAGGTCTCTTGCCTACGAAAACTCGTTTTAGCTGGAGGAATCGCAGAGTTTGCCCTGAGAACACTTGGATGACCAGTCCAAGTTAGGCTTAGTAAGTCCGCCAAAATGGTTAGGGTAACTTGACTTGGGCTGACTGAATTTGGTCTTACGAACTGGGCCGGTCACTTAAGATTCTGTGTTTCTGATTTGTGAATTATTGTGATTTCCCGAAGGATCTCCCAAAAAGGGAAGGGCAGGCTCCCTCAACTTGTCCTACGTTGTCAACATCCCCCATTCTAGTTGCTTTAGAAAATGTTGTAGTCTCCCCTATTGGTTTTGAATGGAATCGATTTCACTACTGGAGATATGTTTATTTTTGACAGGGGACTCTACTGCAAATGCAAGCTCTTTTGGAAAGGGCAGTCGAAAGTGAGTTTCCTTTGAGTCTGATGTTTCCTCGTTGTACCGCAACCCGAATTAAACATGTTGCATAGGGTTGGAGTTTGTCTTTAAGAGGGGTAGCCCAACTATTCAATCCGAAGTGGGCCTTTATGTTCCCCAACTTGCAGCTAACGGAATTGCTGCCCCGACCACTAGGTTTGGGTTGACTCCTGTTGAGTTCAACGGGGGTACTCACGATATGGTCCTTGTCCATCACAGTTTGACATGCGCTCGGGTCAGTTTGTTCGAGGTTTTCCACCCTGCGACACAGAATCCGGGCGGAAGGCTCTCTGTGTTGCTTTCTATGCTGTGCGCTTCGGGGACTGGTATGGGTTGTGTCCACATGTTCGATGGCTGGCCTTTTGAAGATTCATAGCCTTCATAATGCGAATGGGTCTGTCTTTTTTGAGGGTCCCCCAACTAGGTTCGATAGCTGCGTGGGCAGGGTAAGAGGCACTTGTGTGACGGTCTTCCCAGATTTTCTGTGCAAAATACCTCCAGGCTGGACATTCTGCCTTGACAATCTACCTTGACCTGTTCACCTTTTGGATCTCCTTGTTGGACCATTTCTAGTCATGGCCCCAGAAGGTGATCGTTTCCAGTCACTTGTTGCAACCGATTTTCAACCCGTAGCTCATGTGGGTGCGAGTGTGTTTTTGAGGGAACCCTTCACGGGGTTGGCGAAATTTAAGGGGACTCCAAGAAGAAAGCCGCCATTTCGGAGGTCCCCATTGTCTCACTGTGAATGGACGAAATCCATTTCGCACCACCATTCAGAAACCCTGGTTTCAGAGAATTCCCCTGCAAATACCGCAGCAAACGTCATGTTTTCAACCATGGTTTCATTTTGAGGTGCGGTGCAACGGATTTCCCAAGCATCCACAGCACCCAGAGGCTCCTGGCTTCGGCTTTCAATGGAAGACCCGACCCCTCCATTAGACACCCCCGGAATTGGTGGTTGGGACCCGGCCTCAAAACCAGGTTATCTGAAGGCCCTAAGTCAATCGAATTGGAGCCTCTGGGTAGTTTGACATACCCGTAATGTTGACCCCGGATTAATAAACCCCTGTTTATTCATATGGGGGTGTTCCCCTCCAAAGGTGGTCTAAATCCCCACTAAGCCCAGGGACACCCCCAAATCAATAAACAGGGGTCTATCAATCCGGGGTCAACATTCGTTTGACGTCGACCCCTACTTGGTGGGAACCGGCATCCAGTCCCTTAGGCCTTCTCGTCGGTTGGGTTTCCGTACTGATTCACCGTCACGTTGAGCGTTACGTTGAGATCTGAAGCGGACAGCCCAAGGGCTGAAGGGGGTTCCTCACCAAGTAACGCTTGCTTGGTAGATTTTTTCGGCCCAGAGGCTCCAAGTCGATTGACTTAGGGCCTTCAAACAACCTGGTTTTGAGGCCGGGTCCCAACCACCTCCGGGGTGTCGTCTTCCATTGAAAGCCGAAGCCAGGAGCCTCTGGGGGTTGAATTTCGCTTTTGGATTCTTTCACACCCTCCGAATTGGGCCCGCAAAGACAACTCTTGGTCACTTTTGGGAGAGGACCGGTTTGGACTGCCCAGTCACAACCCATTTGTGAGCCCCTCAGCTTTTTGCCCAGTGATACCCCCCCTGAGCAATTCTTCGGGACCATCTCAAAAAAGCTAGGTCCCCCAGTAGTGACCTTTCTCACCCCTTTTTAAGATAGACGTCCAGAAAAAAGTTGGTGCCCTTATTCTAACCTCTCTACTGGAGGACCTTTTCTCGCCCACAAAAAAAAGAGGCAATTCTTTGGGACCATCTCGATCGGAACATGGTTGTTGTTGGGAGACATCTTGCATTTTTGCTTATTGTGGTTGAGTGGTTGAAATCCAAGCACTTGACTGCTAAATTGTTTCATCTTGTTTGCTCCCCTTCCAACATCAACCCAGGGAAGTGAGCCATGCTCTCGGAAGTTCGGCCCCAGATGCTGGTCCTCCGCGCTGCTGGATCTCAGAGATGCTCTCGGGGAGGAGGACCCCAGACCCCGGCTGTGGGACCCCAACCAACTGGGCGCTCCGGCTTTTTTTGGAGTGGGTACCCCCCTTTTGGTGAGTGTTAATTAAAGGGAAGCCGAAAACGAAAACCGCCATCTAGTTGTTGTTTTCAGAGGGGACCCTAAAAAAGCAACACCCTAAATGGTGCATCCCACCAAACCTACAGAAGGTCGATCACGACCTTTTCCTCTTTCGGAGCGCAGGAACATCTTCGGGCTTGAAGCTCACTGCATGAGTCGTATGGCCATTGTAGTGACCAAGAAGGTAGCGTTTGTTTTAGCCCATCCGCTGAAGTGAGCCCGTGCTTCCACAAATTATCTTCAGTTGAAACATGACTTGGCCCGCGGCGGTGGCACGGACTGAGCGCAGGAGCTTCACAAGGTCTTCCAAAGGCCAGGGGCCCGGGTCAGAGTCAGCGGCAATATCCGGGAGTCGATGTTCATGCCACGAGTGAGCAGATGTTCAGTGAGTTGGTTGGTGGGTTGGTTGGTTGGCTGCAGTCGCTAACTGGCTGGTTGGTTGGTTGGTTGGGTGGGTGGGTGGGTGGGTGGGTGGGTGGGTGGGTGGTTCGCTGGTTCGTTGTGGTTCGTTGGTCCGTGGGTTGGTTGCTTGCTTGCCTGGGTGGGTGGGTGGGCCTTTGAATTCTGGGTGGCTTCGTGGAGGAAGGTAGTGTTGGATTTAGGTTTCGGGTTTAGGGCTGGCTTTGGCTGTGCTTGTGGTGGGGTTAAGCACGGGCAAAATAATGATGCATCAAAAGGAGGGGTACTCTCCAACTCAGTTTTCTTGGGCTGGAGGCACTCAAATGCCGTGGCTTATGTCACAATATTATTTGGGCAGGTTGGGTCGACCTGGGCTTTACGATCTCATGACGGCTGCATACGGAACCCTTGCTTTTGGCCCCGGCGCTGAATTTCTACTATTCACTCGAGTGTGTTTTGGGCGGAGAACAACTGGAAACCACCTTCTATTTGAGGGAGGGTCCCCCTATCTGAAACCCTGGCGTTGCGATCTCATGACGGCTCCATAACTTTGGTGCATTTTGCTTGGATGTTAGGACTTTACCTAATGGGTTTTCCATTAAACCACTAAACATTACACTTTTAGCAGCGGAGCAGAAAGCAACCGAGATAAGGAACTCTTGCTTTTGGCCCAACCCAAATTTGATTCCCACGGCATTTCGACGGCTCTCCGCGGCGTTTGCCGTCGACGGCTTTTGTTTGTGCCAGGATAGAAGACGCGATCTTGGAGCACGGGGAGGAGGCCGATGCTGGGCAACAACGGTCACCGCGACCCATGAATTCTTTCCGCACGTGGCTGTGGGTCACAACTCAAAAAAAAAAAAAAAAAAAAAAAAAAAAAAAAAACGCAGATCTTAGCTCATATGTCCATGCGCCAAGGTGAATTTTGGGTACCCATGCTTGACCCGCAGCCACATGTTTCAGGGCCCCCGAAATCCGTTCGCACCACCAAATGAAACCATAGGCCAGCGTTTGCTGTTTTTGTTTCGGTTCAGGGGAATCGAAGCAGTTTCCGGGTTTGGGTGGTGCGAAATGGATTTCGCAACCATCCGCAGTATTGGTATTCCCCTTTTCAGCCTGTTGAAGCATCATTTTAGGGAGTGGTCCGTTTTAAGTTTGACTAAATATGGGTAAGAATCAAATGTATCTATGTATTTGTGTACAGTATGTGTGTATGTGTGCATGTATTTATCTATGTATATACAAATGTATCTAGGTATCTATGTTTTGCTTGGCGAAAGCTGAGGTAAACATCCACACCAAGCAGCAAAGACTCTTTGACATTTCCCAGACCCGGGCGGCGGGAGAAAGCCATCCAAGCGGATCTTTGCCATCGGTCGATACGAAGGTTCGACCTGCACTTGCAGTCTTCACTTTGTTCTTTGCCTGTATTTTGCGTGGAGTGTTTAGTCTGCTGGGTCTGTTCAGTCTCTCTCCTTCTGAGGTCCTGGACTTTGTCTGTTTTGGGAAGGCAGCTTTAGTGGCAAAGACAAAGTTTGGACCATCAACTCAGGAAGTGAGTTAATTGGTGGGGGGTCTGCAAAAAGCGATACCAAGCTTGGGAAAGCAGTTCGGGCTTTTGCAGCAAAATGATCTTTTGTAGATCCTTGTAAGGCCTCGTAAGAAGCATTGTTTCTTCGCAATTAGGCGTTTTTTGTTTCGCACCTATAGACGCCTTGTTTTTTCGCAAGTAGGAGCCATTGTTTCCGCAATTCGGCGAATTCGGCGCTCGTTCTTTGCGCAATTCCAGCACGCCCTCGCATTGGGCCTGTTCCTTTTCTTGCTGGTCGGCAGGGAATGAGAAATGGAATGACCTCAAGAAAAGCCATCCCCGATTTGGTTTCTTTTAAGGACACCCCTATGATCATTTCCAAGGCCCGGAAAGGTCATTCCCTACTGAGCACCACAAGTCTTGCCCAACTGAGTTTCTTCTTGATGCAGGGGGTCACATACCAATCCACTTGCGCTCTTCGCTGAAGCAGTATCAGCTTCCGGGTGTCCGTCATCTATCAAGGGGCGGTTGCACAATTCGCATGGGTTCCTCAGGTGGGTAAACTGGACATCATGTACAAGGGACATCCCTCATTCAAGTTAA